GTTGATAGTCCTGGTTTCAGAGAATGGAACTACTATCTCGAACACCCAATTAATGAAAGCCAACCTCAAACCTGGTGTTCAAGATTCACTAAGCCTAAGACTTAAAAACTGACTTCACCTGTTAGTGCTTTTAAATGAAAATCAACGTCCAGAGAAGCAATGCAAGTTTTCTACACACCTACGTAAAAGCTACAATAAATCTATGGGAAAGCAAAGCATCTTTGGTTTGTTCGTGGCTTTCTTTTTAAAATTGTTCCCTACAACTTTGACTCTTCATTATAAATTTTGCGTTCCCTTCCCTACGGAATGAATGTCTGCGTTAAACACACCAGATTCCCGCAGCTGAACTGCGAGCTTTGATTCTGCCACGGAACGGTCTCCCAAACAATCCCCCTCCTTTATGGCAGCCGCGAAGACTTTGATTCCTGCTATTTCTCCTTCTCCCCACTAGTTCAGAGGAAAGAAAGAAAAAGAAATCGCCCCCTCACCGTAATCTGCCCTCCTTAAAACAGTCATCCCTGCCTTTAAAAAAGGCGGTGGCAGAATCCCCGGGTAAGGGTGGACTGCCCCACCGCCCCACCGTTTCCCCCAATACTACGCCCACCCTAGGAGGAGAGCGCGGGGGTCGCACAAACACACATACCCGGACACCCCCATTCTCTAGAATCGCCTCTCCCCGGGTCTGAGGTTTCAGGCGAGCAGTGAGCCCTGCAGGGGAGGACCTCTGCCCAGGGAGGTGCAGAGGAGCAAACTGTGCGCTCCGTGCCCGGGCGCGGGGCTCGCGGAAGCGGGAGCCTGTCGCTCCGGCCGGGGAGGCGCCGGCAGCCGGAGCCGGGCGCAGGGCGAACCCCGAGCAGCAAGACTGGAGGACACGCGGGGCGGCCCGGGTCAGTTCCCGGGACTTACCTGGTCATGTTGGCTCCGGGCAGCCGCCGCCACCGCCTCCCGCGCCGCCACCAGCACTTTCCTCCAGCGCCTTCGCGCCCCGCCACGGCCGCGCAGCCAGCGCCGCCGCCTCCGGGCGGCCAATTTAATCCCGCGGAGCAGCGGCCGCAGCCGCGGAAGCCCCCCTGGTCTCCGCCGCCGCCCAGCCCTCGCGCGGCCAGCCCAGTCCAGAGCGAGGAAGTGGAAGAGAGTCAGCGAGTGAGTCCAAAAATCCGAAATCCAGCATCCAAGGGAGCGCGTCCCCCCGCCCTCCCTCCCTCCACCCCTATCCCCTTCTCCTCCTCCTCCGCCTCCTCCTCCTCCTCCTCTTCCCGGGCCGTCCTCTTGGCCCTTCAGAGCCCGCGGCTTCCGCGGCGGTTTCTCCTCCTCCCGCTCCTCCTGCTCGCCCTGCGCCCGCTTCTCTCGCCGCCGCCGCCGCCGCCGCTGTTTGTCTCCTCTCCCTCCTCCTCCTCCTCTTCCTCCTCCTCCCGCTCCTCGACGCTCCGCCGCTCGCGGCTGGGGGGTCCGGGGCCGCGTCTCTTCTCCTCCCTCCGCCTCTCGTTTCCTCCTTCCTGCTGCCTCTTTTAAAGCGGATTCTTTGGCCACAAATAGCAACTCGGCTGCCCCCCTCGGTGCCTCCCTCCCCTTCTTCTCTTCTTCCCCCCAAAAGTGAAGCGCACGCGAGGTAACCAGAAACTGAGGCTCTCGGGGGGAGAGGGGTGCGAGGCGACCCTGGGAAAGGGCCGGAGCAGAGTCAAGGGCCGGGAGGTGGGGTGGCCAGCCCAGCCCAGTGCTGGGACCTGGCGTGAACCGGGTAGTTACGGCTGCAGACGAGGTGGTTTGGTGGGGAAATTAAACGAAAAAGCTCAGGAAAGTAATTGGAAAGGCTTCTCTCTTTGTTTCCTTGTCTGGGTGATTTCTAAAATCCTCGTAACGTGCTGGGGATCCCACGGAATCGCTGTGCTCCAGCGCTGGGGGATTGTGTGTGCGCGTTGCCTGCGCGTGAGTGTGAGTGTGGGTGCGCCCGGACGCGGCGAGAGCCGGGCCCGCTGCGCCCGCTGGCGAATCCCTGAATCCGGACCACTGACCCACTGAAAGGACCAGAGAACTGGATGAAGGAGGGGCAGGCAAGAGAGGTGGTAGAAGGAGGCACCACATACCCACCCACCCACACACACACACACACACACACACACACACACACACACACACCCCAGAGGAGGGGGCGGGGTGACGTCACTCCCCAGCATCCATCCACCAGGCCAGAAAAGACCCTCTTCAACCGATTCACTCATCTCCTAAGAGATGCACACCCGGGCGCTTCCTGCTCTGCGTCCCAGCGCAAAGAAGGAAAAAGAAGGCTGGTCGCGCCCTATTCACAGCAGTGATAATAATATAGGGAGCGTGTTTTGATGAGACACAGTTTGTGTCCGCCCCAGTTCACCTTGGCAGCCTCCTTCGAGGATGCTTGTAAGATCTACTTTGAAGGCAAAGAGGAAGACAGGGAAGTATTGTATCAAAATCCTAGTGTAATAACTTGTTTTGCTTTCATGCGACTTGCTTTTATGATGTGGAAATGCAGTGCTCCTGAGCTTCTCTGAAGGACACTGTAACACCCTTTCCCTAGACTAGCACCCCGTTGTTGGGCTGTGCACTCTCCATCCACAGAACCCAGGGTGACCTAAGGTGTACCGTGTATGTTGTCAGCTACGGGATGGATTTTAACCTTCTTCACTACTCATAGAGTCTCCAGCATGTGGAAGAAGTCAGCAGCTGGAAGCCATCATTGGCAGTTGGCCCATCAAAATTTATTAGAAACTTGTTCAGAAAGGTTAAAGTAAAGCTAGGGCTCACCAGACACCTCCATTGCTCTCTCTGTGTTCAGACCAGCATACACACGCAATACTTATTCCTGCAGAGTCCAGGCTCTCTTTGAAAGAGCAAAGGTAAGCAAGACCCCCTTAGATTTGACTTAATGATGCAGCATCCTGACTGTTGTCTCAAGCTGCCCATTTATTTCCACCATCTGCATGCCGTGCTGCTGAAAGCCACGTAAGGATTGGTCAGTAATCCTCTGCCCCCATGTGCTCCAAAAAGAAGTCACCCCGTTTTTGAAAGGAATCTTTCTAAACGAAGTTCAGTTTTCCAGCAATTTGAGTGTGGGGGAGGAGCAACCTGGCATGAGTCTCGGTTGGCTTTTTGTTTTTTGTTTTTTATGGTTAGTGTTACAGTGAAAATCAGGAAGAAATCAATTTCTGTGTAAGCCTCCAAGCTTGGTTTGCCCACCAATCATTCTGATTTCACGGGAGCTGAAAAGCTGTGCGAGGATGATGGACACCTGTCCCCTGTGCTCTAAAGATGGAGCCAGAAAGCTGAGCCTCTCCACAGGTGATTCCACCCAAGATGTAAACTCCTACTTGGCTTTCTCATTGCCACCTGCTCCCCCAGAAACTGGCAATCCCACTTTCCTCATTCAAACTTGCATGTTAGAGAAACAAAGTTTTGAAAACCATAATATTCCTTTGCTGCTACCTTTGGGGGAAAGAAAAGTATCTCTCTGCCTGCAGATCTGACCTCATTTAAGAACCCAGCTAGTCAATCTGACTGCTATCGGGGAACATAGTTGAGGAAATATCATCTTACACCACTGGTAGCGATTTAAACTAGCTAGAAAACTTAGCAATGATTGTTACCAAGGAGAGCCAACAAGCAAGTAGAAAAGGGACCCAGAAATCAGAGGATACAGAGAACAATACAAGTAAATAGCATAAACCCTACTTTTCTGACACCATAAAGTCCTAGATGTTCTTATCTCTTTCAACTATAAACATCTTAGAGAAAGAAGTAGGGATGGGTTGAGGTGACTGGAGAATCTAAGTTATTATTATACAAATGAGACTGAATTATGCAGGGTGATGCTGCTGCAGAACAGGAGATACAGCAAATAGAGAAGCCAAAGGTTCTCTGCACATCAGAGTAGTCATGGAAGTAGGACTGCAGCCTGCTACACATGTGTTAATATATTCAGAGCAGATTTGCCGCAAAAGAGCGTCCTCATGCTGCAGCAAGTAGTAAACTTCTAAACTGGTTTACCATGTGGGAATTTAAAGTCAAAAAGATTCAGAAGCAGGATAATCTTTTGTTGAAATTACCTCATTTTTACAGGTAAAGAAATGAAGACCCTGAGAATTTAAAATCATCCAACTATTTGGTGGCAGAAGCAGGACAGGAACTCAGATATCATGATCCAGTGCCCTCTGTCCCACTATTCATCACCTCCAAGTTCTGGATCAAAGAAGCCAGTTTTCCAGCTTATCAGTGAGCAATACATACAGCATATTTAAAAATTCTACATGCTTAGATGAAGGAAAAATGAAGCAATAGGACAAGACATTTTCTTAGTTCCCTTCTAGCTCTAACATTCTGTGATAAATAGCACATAGGAGCTTTGCTATAGCACAACCCCCTCTAGTGCATAATTCAGCATACGATGAGTATGAGTCTGTTTTGGACCCCATCCAAAGGAGTTAGTTCCTAGAAGTACTTGGAAGATTTATTCTCATTTATCATGAGGCATCCTAACAGGAGACTAAAAATAATCATGATGACAATAATAGTAATCAGTTGTTACACTTGAATTATGTACTAAGCATCATGCTAAGCATGTTATCATAGTTCACCCATTTTTGAAAAGACACATCATGACCTTATGTGGGTTGCCAATCTAGTAGGTCATGAACAATTTCTGAAAAGAAAAGTAGAAAAGGACACAGAGTACATTATATGTACTAAGTATTGTTTTGCAAAACTTCCTTTCTGGTCATGTGGCTAGTGATTAAAAGTTTGAAAGCCACTGCCTTGTTTCCAATCTTAACAACTGCCTTGCTAGTTAAGTATTACCCTTATTATATAAGTTAGGAGACAGGATGAGAGAGGAAAATTTGCCCAAGCTGACATAGTGAGTGGCCAAGCTAGGATTTTGAACCTGCATCTGTTTGACTTCAAATCTGATATTTTCACTTCTATCGTGATGATAAATTATTAACCAAGGTATGGAATAAATTGTTGCAAATCATATTTCCTTTGTGAGGACTACAGTGGTTTTTATAAAATCCAGCTAAATGGAGAAACACAGCATAGATTTAAGTGACATGTTCTGAAAATCGTGAGGAATTTCATAAAACACTAATACCCTGAGACCTTTCCCTACAGGTGTTAGGTTATGTCTAATATACTTTATTAATTTGCTCTAAATACATAAGTGAAACAATAATTTTTCATCTTCAAATAAGCTAAATATTCACTTCTACAAGTGTTACTTTTATTTAAGAGAGTGTTTTTCAAATTTAAGGTATCTAACACATCTCAGTAGCTTCCTTTGTCCAAACAGAACTAGCATGTAAGAAAGATAAAAGCCAGGTGCCGTGGCTCACACCTGTAATCCCAGCACTTCGGAAGGCCAAGAAAGGTGGATCACCTGAGGTCAGGTGTTCGAGACCAGCCTGGCCAACATGGTGAAACCCCATTTCTACTAAAAATACAAAAATTATCCAGGCATGGTGGCACATGCCTGTAATCCCAGCTATTTGGGAGGCTGAGGCAGGAGAATGGCTTGAAGCCAGGAGGTGGAGGTTGCAGTGAGTAGAGATGGTGCCACTGCCCTCTAGCCTGGGCAATAGAGCCAGACTCCATCTCGAAAATAAAGAAATAAATAAAAAATAAAGTAGTCAGACCACCCTATAATTCAACTTCAGTTGTGAAGAAGAAAAGAAGACAATAATTCAGGTGCCCTGCTAAACTTTTTGACCCATGTAGTTCTATGGATTCAACCAGTAACATTGCATGCTTAGGTGTCATTACTCCCATTCTGCAGATTTGAAAGCTCAAACTCAGATCTAGGAGATGATTGAAATGAGTGTATCTCATCCTGTTCTGATTCCACTGCCCCAAATTTCTTTACAAACAGTTGGGCTTCCAGTATACCAGCGGATGGTTAGAGATTTTGAGACATGCGTGCAATCATTTATGCTTTCTTTTTCCATGTGAAAGAAATGTGCTTTCTTTTTCTTCAGGGCAACATCTCTTGTTGCTGTTAGGCAGCACCGTCCTCTTTAAGAAAAGAAATCCACATTTTTCACTAAAGAAAGGCCTAGAAAAGCCAGACTTTCTCCGCTGACTGCTCAGTTCGACTGCTGCATTTCACCCTCACCTGCAGTGTGTAGAGGACGTTATGGTACGATGCTATTTTCTATTGGCTCTGCTACTGGAGATTACAGCATGCGACTGTGACAAATGGATATTCCCATTAAATTCTTTAGTAGAGTGGGGCATTCCATTAACCATTGGCACTATCCCAACCCAAGTGAAACACTGGATCATTTTTTTCTTGTGAGCAAGAAGTGAAGGGAGAAAACAAAGGATATACTCTAATTACCTTTCCTATTTTTTTGGTTGCATGCATTATGATAGCCATATATTACAATTATTTATAATTAATATATGACAAGCTGTCAGCTAAAATTTAACAGGTGATTTGTCAAGAAGCCCCATTAATGCATACATTAAGCAGTGAATTCCATTGTTTCCTAACAAAAAACTGTGTATTGGTTTTGATTTTTCATCTATTCAGTATAAACATTTAGAGGCCATTTATCTTTACATTTTGCAGCATCTTTTAAAACTAAAACTATTGCTAACTAAATGGGTACATTGTTAGTTATGTGAGGTTTAAATGCATTTCTCTCACCTTAACCTCTACATTTGTTTCACTGAGGAAACAAATTGCCTAGTGTTTATTTTAAAGTTTTAACTTTTATAGTTTTTGTACATTTTTTTAAAAAATCATGTGTTCAGTAGGAAAGGCAAAGCCGATTGGGGAGGAAAGTAACTGCAGTTACTTCTGTTCCATTTCGTGTTTGTATCTTAGGTAAGGAAATTCTGAAATGAAGGAATATTTTAACATACAGAAAAAGATTAAGAAGTCACCAGAAAGCTAGTAATTAATCACTGAATAAAGGAACACTCTACACAGACCAAAAACTGATGAAGCAAGCCCCATTTTGCTGACTGGCACAAGAATGAGGAACACAATGGAAATGAATCACAGAGCCTTCTTAGGAGGGGTAACAGGATTCTTTGAAAGAAGGAAAACTGTTTCTGTATCTATAGGACATCAAATTGTGGGACATAACCTGTAAAGGAGGTCAAATTTTAAACTTCAATATTACTATTGCTTCCATGGTCAACCAAAATTTGTACTGTTTAAGAGAAAGATACAAAAGTCATGCAGCATTTGTTTAAAATTTCATTTGCACAAGCCTCTCATCTCTCACAACTCGGACACGCTTCAGGCTGTTAATGACTCCCAATCCACTACTGTAGAGGGTGTTGAATCTCCTTAACGAAAGAATGGGCTTTAAGATTCAATGGTTAGGAAGAGAGAAATAAACAAGAGTAAAACACGAAGCACAGCAGCTTTTCAAAGCTAGTAAGACTTCTGTGTCCACCAACCAACTTTAGCTTTCACATTTTTAGCAAGAAAGCACTAACACAGAACCATAAAATTATTTTTAAAGGTTCTTTCGAACAGTGTTTCAGAAGATGATTTCCAAAAACTCACTCAGAAGCAAAATACCACAAGTTGATTTTCATGTTGCAGGGAGTGTATTCCTGTACAGTTCAGGGATTATAAATGACCAGTGGCAAACTGGTCATTGTATCCTGGGCCAGGATCATCTCCAGTCGCTTTGTTTCCCACATGTAGCCATGTTTCCATGGGTAACTGGGGATGTTTCCTTGTGCATTCAGTAACAGTTTTCAAAACAGTGAATACAGCAAGGCATCAAAAGTACTATTTTTTAGCCACTTTTCTAACGTTTTCTCTATCTTGTACTTCCGTGCTTGTCTTACACTTCACTTGTATCACTTAATTTCTACTTGGTGTACATACTCAGTGTAATGTTTTCATAGTTGTTTGAGAGCAGAATTCATGTCTGATGAGAAGCCAGAGCTCCTATCAGAGAGCTTTAAGCATGATAGGCACTTCATAAATATCACAGTAAGTAAAGGAAGGAAAAGATAAAGATAGGAAGAGAGAAAGAGGACATGAACTGGTTGTCATTTGCACATTTTCCATGATAAATCACTGTCTTTATAAAGCCTCTGATATAGTCCACTAAATACAATGAATTTGCCCTGCTGCTGGGCTCTTATTATTCTTTTGTCTTCTTATTTCCTATCTCTCTCTATTTTTATTGTATACAATTGCACCCTATTCAATTGTGAGCATCTTCACACTGTTCTCATCACCGCCAAGCCCAGAACCTGCAGTGTAAGCAGATCTCAAAACATGTCTGCTGCAATAACATGTGCTTAGATACCACTATGGCCTGGTTAGATATTACATTAATACTGCCTCTTACTGAGACTGTGCTGAAAGGTACAATGACCTAGAGTTTGGTCAGAGTTGGGCCTCACTAATCACAGCATACACCAAAATGTCCCATACAAAGAACAAAATAGAATCTAACAGGAGTGGATGGATTCGTAGTTCCACAGAACTTTTGATGAGAAGGATTACAAAGTTTCATGCTTTCCTACAAGAAGTCAAAATAATATGATCAGTTCAGTGGATAAAAAATCCTTTATACTTCTAACTGGAACTGAAGTTTTCATTTTTAACTTGGTATATTCTTAGATGAACAGAGCATTCATTTACCTGTAAATGTTATTTCCTGTGGAAACATACATCACTGCAAGTCATCCTGATTCTTAAAACTCATTGGCCACATCCCCAAAATTACTAGTAACACTGAACGAGTCTTGCAGAGATTTAAAAGGCGAACCAAAACTATTCTTTCCTAAATGTATGATTACTTTACATAGTCTATTCATGTTAGTGCTTGTTTTATAAATATAGAAGCACCATTCTTGCTTGGTTATTTATTTGTGTTCAGTTCTTTAAGATTATATTTTCTTTCCTTTTCTTACCACCAAAAGCCCATCTTTCCAACACAAATATCTCTACTGTTCTCTGGACTAATACAATAATAATATTCTGTGTATTCTTCTGCTCCCAGTCTTTTCCTGATTGGCCCCAATCTGTGCCTCAAAGTGCTGCCTCATTAACTTTAATAAAGCACTAGTTGATTATGTAATTCCCATGATTAAAAAAAAAAGTCAGTGGTTTATGATTAAGTCCACACTTTATAACGAAGTGCATAGTTTCTACCAGCATTCAGGATCGACCACCAGTGGAATGCTACCTGAGCCCATTTTTCCATTCTGATCTTTACCTCTTTTCTACCCGTATCCTAAACTCCAGCATTCTCTGCATAAAACTATCCATATTTCTTACTCAGTCGGAAAGTTTTCTTATGATCACCTACATGTTGAATACTAATCTATCCCTTAAGAGCCATCTCATCAAGTAGTTTTTTTTTCCTGATTCCTCTGCCAGTTTTGAATACTACTTCCTTCAGAATATCTGATTTTTTGAATCTCTCTTGCTCTGAATATTCTACTGAAATTGGATAAAAGATAATGGAAAGCACTCACTTCCAAGATATATTTAATGACTAGTTTATTGGTACTGATCCATTCATTGGAATGGCAACATGTTATAAGCAGGGCGTAGATGGAGTTAGTGGGAATTTATGCAAACTTCTGTTTAATCACATGTTGAAAGGCCTCTTTGTTTAGTCACGTCCTGCAAGTTCTTGTGTCAGGTAATTGTGTTTGGGAAGGGAACAAATTCCAAAGATTCTGAGTTAAGACCAATATGAAGAGCAACAGACGATGGAAACTTTCCACAATGTCTCTCCTTCCTTCCCTCCCCCCTTCTTCTTTTTCTTTCTTCTTCCTTCCTTCCTTCTCTCCTTTTCTCCTTCTCCCTTTCTTTCTTTCTCTCAACTTTGCTCCTTATCCATGCAAGGAGATGAAATGACCCAGGACTGTTAAGTCTTTGTCCTGGAGAAGCACAAAAGCAAATCAAGTGAGGCAGATGTTCTGCTCTGCCCTCCCCCTTGGCAAAGACCAGCAGTCTAGAAGCCGTTCTGAAAAGAATGCTTGGCACTCA